TGTAGTACCCCCAAGGTCGGGCCTTTAGGCCCTGATGTGTCCCTCTAGCCCTCAGTCGGGTCCGGTAGGACCCGTGTGGCGTCGAAGATGTAACAACCTCCCTGTCCCTATGGTGTGCCACTTCTTCCAAACCAATCTGTTGTCCACCACTGTGGCGATCTTTCCCTGCAGGAGCCAGTCTCTTATGAACACCCGTCTCTTTATTGCTGTCCTTACTGGCCTGCCTTTCGTCGTCACGGTCAGTTCTTTCCACCTGGCTCTCACCTCTGTTTCCGCCATTCCCAGTAGAAGAGCCCACATTTCTTCTCTCGGCACCTCAGTTCCTTCGATCGTCCTGGTGCATCTCCTCTTCCAGATCACCCACAGAGTCAGCTTTCTGAGAACCTGGTACCAAACTTTCTCACCGCCTTTGAGATTGTTAGTGTTGTTGGATAGTATCAGAATGTTGAGGGGGGTCGTTGGCGGGGGGGGTGAGGAGAAGAGGGTGTGCCATAGGTTACGTACTTTGTTCCAGATCCACGCTGCTTCCATACAGTGCAGGAGGCAGTGGGGTATGTCTTCCGGGGTCTTATCTGTGCAGAGTTTGCATAGGTCGGTGCTGTTGGGGTCTGTGAGCTTTCTCCTCTTATGGAGCCATTGATTGGTAGGCAGAGAGACGTGCACTATGAGCCATTGCATGCTTCGGATCCTGGCAGGTCTGATGGATAGGAACTTCGACCACGGGATGGATATGGGGGCCGAGGGGTCTAGGTTCAGGATCTCCTTCCAGTTTCCTTCGAGTTTGGGATTCGGGTCTTTGGTTTGTAAGCCCAACTCGTAGCCGAATTTTACGTCGTATTCGTTTATCGTTCTTGTTTTCCCCGATTGACCCTGTTTCCAAACCCATTCCTTCGGGTCGAATTCCAGCTCAGTTATGCTGAGGTCCGGTCGGAATAGTATCCAGAGTTTGTTCTTTGAGACCCTCACTTTCCTCAGTCGGAATGTATCTAGTAAATCGCACTGGGGTTCTCTGTTCTGGACTTCCAACTCGTTAGTGGTGTGCTTGGCTACGGGGTAAGAGTAGAACTTGGATAGGTATCCCGATGGGTTGATTCTAGCGACGAATCTGTACGCTCGGGTAGGTTGGGTTTCGGATATTAGTACACCCCAGTCCCCTAATTTCCACGAGAAGTCCTCCCTTAGGAGGGGGAGCCAGTGTGACGGGATGCTATTTTGGATCAACGTTAAGTTTTCGGGGAGGGAGTGGCAGCCTTTGAGGACATTGCGTAGTTCTTGATCAGTGGTCCAACGTCCTTGGTCTTCTTCCCAGATGTGTCTGACTTGCCACATCCCTTTTTCAACCCAAGATAGCCACCTACGGTCTCTGGGGCATAGGGTCCATTCCGCGCCGCTGGGGTCGGTGATCCAGGGGTTGCAGAAGAGGGGTTTGTCTCAGAACCTCTTCTCTATTTCCTGGTGCCCCGTGTTTGCTTGGCATCATTCTACGACAGGCTTTGATGGTGGGAGTCCAGTATGAACTGACTGTTAGAGTGGGGTTGTGCGGGGTTACTCCTGTGTGGCCTGCTCGATTTTATTGACCAATCCTTAGCCATGAGCCAAAACCGTCCATCCATGTTTGGGGGGGAGATGATGGGGGCTAGGTTTCTGATACTGTCTAGCGCCATCTGAGTCCATGGGAGGAACTGACTGATCAGGACCTTGATGATCCACTTCATCTGCAGTGCTATGGATTCTTGTTTGGGGTCGATGATTCCGAGGCCCCCTTCCTGAGGTCTTTTGGTGATGTGGTTCCAAGCTACCTTATTGATGCAAGTGGTCCTGTTAGGATCGCCTGTCCACAGGTAGCATCTCACCCTGTTCTTCAGCTTTTTGATGTCGTCGTCAGGGGGGGACCAGATGGATGCCATATACCACAGTGTGGAGAAGATTGCTGTGTTAATTAACATCGCCCGTCCAATTAGAGAGGCCTGAGCTTTTTTGCATTGGGCCAGGCGGGTGATTGCCCTAGCAATTAGGTTCTGGCCCATTCCTGGCCATACCCCTTCCTTGTTAATCATAATGCCCAAGGTACCTACATGGCTTTTTAACGTTTGTTTTCCTTCCATATTGAATGCTGAGATGCAGGAGCATCACACTGTTTACAACTGACACATGTAAACTCCTAGAAAGTTGGTGAAAGTTGAATAAAGGTACCATCTCAAAAATGCGATGTTGTGATTGTTGTCATGTGATGATGGTCTTCAATGGGACAGGAGGAGGAGAAGCAAAAGGCTGAGAAGCAGCGCCTTGAAGAGCTGCGGAAAAGGAAGGAGGAACTATTTGCTATCCCTCAGGCAATTGCAGAATCTATGGCGGAAAAGGTACGCAAAAGGGGCATTGTGCATTGAGCTGTCCACACAATACGAGCCAATATTGTTTTTTATCTGGAGAAGTATGCATGCGTGTGGGTCTATGTTCAGGGTGCAACACGTGTTTCTGTGCGTCTGTCTCTGTTTTTTTTGTGTTTGTTTGTGTGTGTGTGTGTGTGGGGGGAGAGAGAGAGAGAGAGAGAGAGAGAGAGAGAGAGAGAGAGAGAGAGGGCAAGGAAAAGAAAGCTGCAATGAGAAAGATGAAACAACCAGGCTGGTTTACTGTCAAAGAAAAGTGGACGCAGATAATGGTTGTACATCATCCACAAAAACTGGAGTTGGGATGGTGTTTGTGGTGCTGGTTATGCATTTCTCTGTTCAACTGCTAAGACTCGGAAGTTGGAAGTCGATGTGCGCCTGGGAGAGAGGCTGCAAAAGGTGTTGGAATCCTTTTTCCTTCCTTACCTTGGTGTTGATGTCATTACTCAGGTGCTTTTTATCATTACTTTCTTGGAATTCTATGAGCTTCCTCTCCCTCCTCTCGGCTCTTACTTTGCTATTACGTAGCTCGTGCTTTACTCATTCTTAGCTGAGAAAGATCTCTCCCTTTTGCTTCTGTTTTATCTGTACTTTGCCCATTTTTGGGATATACTACATTGGCACCAAGCTGGTCCCTCACCCGGTGATCTGTTGGCAACTTGGCACTAAATTCTCGGAACTTCCATTTTCCCTTCCTGCAAAACGGTACGCAGCTTCAAGAGAAAAAGGAAGCAGCCTTGGAGATGAAGGCAGAAGCAGAGCGATTGGAAGCTCTCAAGGCAAAGAAGGAGCTTGAGATCCAAAGTAACAAGAGAGCCAAATGTGAGACTATTATAGAAGATCGGAAAAACATCAAGGTGAGTGTGAGGCCCACCTTTTATGTCAAGCCTTCATGGTTGGTTAAACTTCGTTTAAACTTTAAAGTTTAAAGTCCTTGACCCCGTGCAGAGACGACGAGGAGACTTAAGGAGAGGAGTGGGCCAAAAAAGGAGACAGCGAAAAAAACGAGAAAAAAGGGAAAAACAAATGTTATGGAACTTACGATCTGATCGGCCCAGATCCCACCTGGGCAGTCCCGGCTGGACAAGGCCTGGGCAAGGTGCCAAGCAGTCTCAGCACAAAATTCAAAAAGAAAAGACTTCAAAAGTGCAAGGAAAATGAACAGAAGCGAGATGACAACATTCAGATTGCACAATCACATTGAAAGCCAAATCGTAACACAATGTTCAGGAAGCAGCATTGCACCAATATAACACCAATGGAGAATCATAGCACTGAAAGTCAATGTCAATGAGAGCTTGCTCTCACCACCACCAACATATGTATCCAGTCTTTATCTCCCTACCTGGCACTCAGCGCCCAGTCTACTCCCTACACAGCTACTACTAGCCTACGAATTGACAATGCAACTGTTGACGTCAGCAGCACCCGAAGTACTTGAAGATGTCGCCCATGCAGAACCATCGCCAATACCAGGTATGTGCCCTCACATCATCATCATCATCATCCTTCTCTCCCCCTTGACTCTCTCCCACGTCTCCCTTTGTTGTACACCCGAAGACCACCCCTGCGCCTCACTGTATGTCAAGGCCCACAGCCAGCTATGGAGGCTGGGCTATGGCGCTGCCCTCAGCAGCGCCCAGCTTCACCACACGACTGCACGTGCGCAGCCTCTTGCTCCAATGCCAGCAGCCAGCACGTGGCTATCGCTCCAGCAGCGCTGCCGCCAGCCAGCAAGTGCCCGAATGCCCTGGCCAGGCAGCGAGCTCTTTCCTATATGGAAAGAGCCTGCCTCATTTGGAAGCCTGGCTGGACTGGCCTGGGCCCAGAAGCTTCCGGTAGGCCCCAGGATGCTGCGCCTCTGATGCAGCTACTGGGCCTCATTCGGTTGGGCCTCCCAACTGTCTGTGTACGAGGCTGCGAATCTGGCCCAGGCCCTGAGCTTTTGGAAAGGCCTGGAAGGCCTGGGAATTTCCACGCTGCTCGGCCTGTGTTTCCCTTCAACCAACTGCTGCGACGAAACTGCCTGGACCCCCAAATGCGGAATTGACAACCAAGGGCCTCTCGTGATTTGTTAGGCCCGCCTTCACTTAGGGCGGGCGCTCTTGCAACAGGGGCCCCTCAGGCCTGCCGAGGACCCAGATCCTCGCAAAAGAGGTACAAATTCAAAAGAATCCTGGAAAAAACATACGTTATTACGTTTGTAAAATGATACTAGAAACAACTTGTGGTTGGGGATCATCTCCAAATGCCTCTTTGTTCTCAAGATAATAAATAAATAGAAATTATTAGAAAACGAAGTTATATACACCCCGTTAAGGCCCTCTTAACCCCTCTAAAGAGTCTCAAGTTCTCAACCCGTTCGGACCCTTTCCTCAGCCACCAAGCCCCCTCCAATTTGACTTACAAATTTTCAAGGAAAACGTGGATTCTGCATGCTCTTAAAAAGTGCATTTGCGCAGTCCAATCAGAAAAAGGAAAAACAAAAATCTCAGGTTTTCGGCCCGCATGGATTGACCAGGTGGGCTGCCCCTTCCCCGCTGGGGTCGGATGGACCTAGTAACCTAGGGAAGAAGAAAAATCCAAGAGTGGATACGAAAAATAGAGTAGGCTGTTTTTTTTTCCTTTTCTATTTTTTTTTTTTTTTGGTCTCTCTCTCTCTCTCTCTCTCTCTCTCTCTCTCTCTCTCTCTCTCTCTCTCT